AAAAAAAACAAAATTTTTTTTATATATTTTTAATTCAATTTGATACTTTACTCTTTTGTTTCTATTCTAAAGACTCTCTTAAATAAATAAAACAAACCGATTAAAATATGCCATGTTATTCATGTGATTCATATATAAAACATAACATTCAAGTATAAATATATTTTGTATTACAATTTCTATTGGTGTGTGTGTGTGTGTGTGTGTGTGTGTGTGTGCGTGTGTGTGTGTGTGTGTGACATTAATTCAATAAAATAAATAAAAATTTGTTAATGTACATGTCAAATTCGAAGCAGAAAAACCTAATTTTATTTGTTTAAATTTAATAAAACCAAAAATAACATGAGTAAATAAATATTATATAATAATAGATCAAAAGGCAACAACGAAGTAAAGGCAAGGAAACACTGTTCTGTTTTTTATAAGATATAAATTTTTTTTTATGAAACTATCAAGAATTTGCATTGCAAAAATTATAAAAAGACTATGAACCATTAGACAACAACATCCTAAAGAGTATTGAATTTTGAATGTACAAGACAGCATAATAAACTCGTTCGCGGCGCGATACATTAATCACTAGATATACTTCTGGCACATAACCCATATTCTCAAAAAAATACAAAACTACTCAATTTAGGAAATAATTGCAATAAAAAAGTAGATATTTGAGTTATATATTGTGGTATAAACCACATATATTGTTTAAAAATTTATCTTCTTTAAGAAAATTCTAGAATTTAGAATTTTCTAGAAAGAATCAAAGATAACAATAAAAATATTTTCTAACCGATATCCAGGAACAAGAAAAGATGAATACAAACTATCTAAATAAAAGAGATTGTTTTTTAAACATATTTTATAAACAGAGTAAAGTCGACCAAATCTAGAGCGTAGTTGAAGAGTTCCTACGTTCAGATCGCATACCTGCTAATTATGTCATATATAAATTAACAATAACGTTACGAACCATTATAAAAACTCTAAAATATTTATATTTTTGATAAAATAAAAAATATAACCACGTTTATAGATGTCGGAATAACTTGTCAGGACAGTTAGTAAACGGTCAAAACTGAAAGTTGAGGAAATATAGCATTTTTGCAAATGAAATATAGCTAATGTACAAATTGAAGACGAAGATAATACTATGGTATCGGGTGTCATTTCCTCGGACGGCCGAACGATGAACGACAAGGGCCCACGGTCGACGCCTGGATTTTTTGGCAGTGAAACATCGACTGACAAACAAATGCGTCGAGTAAACGATTATTCGCGAACGCGTCTCAGTCATCTTTCGTAATATCCACAAGTGTTTCGGATTATCAGTGATTAATTAAGTGATCAGTGTTTGGTAACAGTGTAGTGAAAAAAGTGTAGCTGTACGTTGTACGAGGTCAGTGCCCTTCGACATCGTGAGCCACAATTCCAAAAATGGGTGAGTTTCTTATTGATAATATTTTTCATATTTCTCTAATAAACAAATCCTTTACGTCCCTGAACGCGATTATTTATTATTAAATCAGATTTGCAAATCATTCGTTGAATTCTGTTCGGACACGGAATTATTTAAATTAAAATATCATTTACGAACTTTGCTAATCCTCACTGTACACCTTGCATAAAAATTTCATATGGTACACGTAAAGTGTCATGCACACCAGAAAATTAAAACGGCTCTCACGGTTAAACTACTTATTATTTCGGGTCCGAAAAATTAGTAAATATTCTTCAGACATTCTGAAATAAGGATGAATAGCGTTTTTCTTAAAATTATCACTCTAACGTGGTAAAATAAAATTCGGAAGTTCACGCACCGTGACTTGTTCATTGATTCAAACGCAACACGGAGCCTCTATCTTCTATCGAGATCCACGGCCGAAGCACGTTTCTCTCGATCGATCGACCACGTTGTAACTCACGCCCTCGCCTCTCATTGATCAGAATTTTTTCGTTAATAACTCGTAAATAAAGCTGCGGATTGCATTTTCGCAAAGGAAAAAGTTGCTTCAAATGACCTCAGCTACCCTTCGTTTTCGGCTGTTAAAATAATTATGGAATACATAATTGTGGAACACATCTCAGGTACTCCCCATTAACGGGTGGAAATATCTATATACGCATGACCACCCATGTCATAATTATGCCTCCTCCTAGTATTTTTTAGAATGTGTCTGTTTTTCAGACCTTAAGTCATGACAGTAGTGATGAAATTCATCAGGTCAATCTATATTAAACCTTTTCTCATTTGAAAAAATTACATTGCACCATTCTGAAAACCACTTTACATGACTCAA